CGTTTATGAACATACAAATATTCAGAGTAACATAGCTGGTCAGGTTCATTCTCCCATAAACCTGACACAGCAGGCTGTCAAGTTCAAGCAAAAAAGACTACACAATGACGACACAAACTGGCCAAAAGCAATAACTAATTTCTATGTCTTCTTTTGCTGCTGCTGGCGTTGCTGGTGATAGCCGTTTGTTTTGACCACCAACACCACCACAAGTGAATCAACAGAAAAAAATCCATCTTAAGTTTTCGGACTCTTGCTGTTGGTCAAGCCAAGGATATGGGTTAAGAATGTCCATAGTTTGTATTTGTACGAGTATGTCTGCATGGTATTAAAAATCATTACCAACCATCATAAGCCTCGGAAGAAAAAATAACACACACATACGTATATACTCGTATATAGGTATGTAAGTCGACAATTTTGTAGCATTTAAGTCCAAACATGTAAGACAATATGCATTTAAATGTCTTTTACGCCATAACTGAACCACCTAGTATGTTAGTATGCGTGTATGTGTCTGTCTGTGTGTGTGTACTTAAGAAAATCAAGCCAAAGGTGGAGACAATTTTGACCATCCTCTGGTAAATTAAAAACAACCAGAAAACATGAAGACAATACTTCTGATGGTGTTGGTAATTTACTCCAGACGTAAGTAATGACCACACAGACAACACCATCTCCATCTCCATAACCACAGACTTCAATGTTCTTGCCAGTATCCATCCTCGTTTCTGGCCGGCAACTGACCGACCAAATGTTACAAAAACAAAATGAAACAAAATCAATGAAGTTCATTTTACGTCTTCAAAAAATCTCCATTGCTGATTTTTTTAAGGAGGAACAATTTAAACAGTGTTTTATGGATAGAATCGTTTAACAATTCGATAGCATTTTAGAAGGACAGTTCAACTGAAAAAAAAACAGAGACCACATGAGCTATAAGCGTGGATTCGTATACCATTAATTGATTATATCAAATTTTTAATATTGTCATGTATGCCAGATCTAGAACCCATAAAGTATAAATATCAGAATATCAGAATGAAATTCTAGGTCGATGTTGAGCCATGTGTAGCCTGCCTCTTTACATCATTATAGAGATATATTAAAGACAGTTGTTTGAAATTCTGCACATATATTGTTTCAACTCCTAGGATGTTTGATATGAGTCAACTTTTTCCTACACAGAAAAAAAATAATTCGTATATTATATGAATAGTGTTCACAAAATGTGTGTATTTTATGACTGCAATTCATAAACCTTAAAATACTGGTTGATTATTATTATTTTTTGTTTTTTAAGGAATAAATTTTTTAAAGAGAGAGAGAGAGAGAGACAGAGAGAGATTGAAAATGAGCGCAAATAGTGGTAAAGTATGTGCAGTATGGAAAAATTTACTATGATTGAAATTATGAAAATACAAAAGCATTTTGGTGAGAATTTTCCAGAAAAAAGTTATTCATGAAGAATTCTTTATATTTGGTTGGAAAACCACAAGTGGCTATCGTTAGAGCACTACAGCATTTAAAAATGAGGTAAAGCCATTGAAATTCCAAAAAGCAGTTTGTAAACAAACAAAATGATCGTGTTTACTTGCCAAAGAGGTTAGCTGAAAATGGCCACCAAAATTCAATCGCCGGTCATGGTGATAGTGTGGGCCGCTATAACAGCCGATGGTCGCTCTTCGCTCGTATTAATCGACCATGTCATCAGAAAAAATGCCGATTATTATCGCGAAAATATGCTGGAGGGTGCATTAAAGCTTTTGACAAGCAACCATTTTGGCCGCAAATCTTGGACATTCCAACAGGAGTCAACACCATCGAACTCAGCACGCGCCACCCAAGAATGGTTACACAAAAAATCTCCGGATACCAATCCGTTGGACTATTGTGTCTCGAGTATTTTGGAAAGCAAGGTTGGCACTAAATATTCTCAGGCAAGCGCTTCGCCGGCAATGGGCCAAAATACGGCGGAGCAACATTCGGGTAGCGTGTGACAGTTTCATTGGCCGTTTGAAGGCCACAATTCGTACCAAAGGTGACTTTGTTGCAGTTTTTTTATCTCACCCTGTACATTTGTATATCTTGCCTAGACAATATTAAGTGTTCCTTCAAACGACGATTAAAAGATCCTTACAGATGACGACGAGTAAATTGAAGACGAGTAAATTCAACGAAAGATATTCGAGGAAGAAGCCCCCTTACAGACAGAATTGTGGAAGAACTAAATGTACTGTCTAGCTTCTACTCGATGCAGTTGTAACCGTTGAGATCACCACTGAATCGCTTTTAACCCAATGAAAGACTTCTCTTGTTATAGCCCTCATTAAATCGCAAAATTTTTATCGAATGAATATTCCCATTATTATATTTTCGTTTCATCTTAACACACAAAGGAGAACAATGAAAATACAAACTTTTCTTTGCTTTATTCCCCAACAAAATACAACAATATTCGTTATCGTTTTGTATCTTGTCATTTGGGTGAAATTGTTTACATGCAAATGTCACCGAAATTGTCATGTCATGCGCTTTCTGTTGGTTAGGTTTGGTGTGCTGGACTGGGCTGGATGGTTTTTCATTTTGATTCATGTCATTGTTAATTAAATGTCAAATTATGTTAATGTCATTATTATTATGTATAATTAATGTTGTTGCTGATATTTTTTGTATACTTTGTTTGTTGTTTGTTTATGTTGTTGCTGTCACATTAAATGAAATACATAACTGTAAGGTGATAGTGATTAGATCTTGGTTTTACTATTTTTTCTATATATTTTTTGTTTGAGCAGGGTTAGGAGTGACAACATCTAAGAGCACATCTAAGAAAAATATATCATCGATTTTTTGTGTGAACAAGAGTATCTGAGAATTCACCGTATGAAACGACTCAAGAAAAGAGAAGACAGAGAACAAACAATTGATATCTGTCTGTTCATTTCTTAAGAATATATGTGCAGACAGTTACTGTGGTTGAGCACCTTATAAAAAAAATAAATTTATAAAACAATATTTTTGACAATATAATTAGCCCGTCCTGCTGTATGCCCATGGTAAATGGCGACTGATACGTGTGTGGTACTAAAAATATGCACATATTTCTTTTTATGACAATAAAAAAACACAACGAAACTGATCTCGACTGATGTTGGGAATATTTTCATCATTTAACAATTTATGTTATGCCATAAATATAATCAGCTATTAAAAATACATATAAATATTTTGAATCTTTACTAAGGCATCCTAGATATTTATTACACATTCTTGCGATTTTAAATTCACAGATTTAATAAAATTCGGTATTTAGTGTCATTATAAAATTAAATACCAATTACAATAACACTTTGTAAAATTTAGACAAGTCATGAACAAAGGGTGTTTCCTTTAGAATTTATTGCAATGTATGCCGAAGATGAAAAGCGAATGTTTGAAATGTCGTTGGAAATTATGTTTTAATTAAAGGTGATTTATTCATAAATTAATTTAAAATATATATATATATATATATATATATCATTAAAAACACTAAATGTCGCCAAAAAGTCATTTGTAATTACCTGATTTTGTTATAACCATCCCCATTTTTTACGATCATGTTGACATATGTAAACGATTACCTTTAATTACACATCTAAACTCTTCTTTTATTAAATGGCGCCTAAAATTTAACGATTCAACCATATTTTTTATGGGATAATATTCAAAATTATGTACGCCACAAGTAATAACATGGGATCCACATACACGCACACACACACACCTACACAAATTGTCATTTGTTGCAAGATAATTTTCTTCTTATTGTTATTGCAATGATACGAAATAGTAAAAAAGTTTATGGGAATACATTTCAGTCCGGCAATTACAAGCACAATAGACTCCTCTGTTACCACAGTTAATAGCTGGCGCCAAATATTAAATAGTATTATTATGACTTGCAAATTTCCCTTAAATAACCATTATTTTCTATTATTAACATAATTAGTATTAGAAAACATAAAAGTTATGTTTATTAAATAGATATTTTAGATGGAAATTTTGTGTGATAGGCGGGATTAAATCGAAATGTCATAAAAGCCATAAGAAGTTGATTTTTTTAAATGTGCGGGATAGAATAACAAATATACATGCCAATATATGGTGAAAAAATAGTAAAATATACAAAAATAGTAGATTTTAGTACACATTAGAATATGTTCAAGATATTCGATTGGCTGTGGCAGGTCGTTCAACTAAAAAAGGTTTCTTGAAAGTATTCCATCTAAATGAGATATAGGGTGAGATAAAAAAACTGCAACAAAGTCAAACGCAATAATGTTTGCCTTTTTTTAATTTTATTGAATGAAAGCAAAAAATGTCGGAAATAGCATCAAATTTTAGAAGGCACGATTAACGGCCTTCAAACAGCCAATAAAGTCACACCCTGCCCGAAATGTATTTTGGCCCATTCCCTGCGAAGCTCTTGCTTGAGGTGATCAACATATTGGTATTTGTTAGTACCAACCTTGCTTTCCAAAATACTTCAGACACAATAGGCCACCGGATTGGTATCCAAAGATTTTGGTGGCCATTGTGCACTGAAAATGAATCGAGGAACCTCATTTTGTAACCATTCTTGGGTAGCGCGAGCTGAGTGCGATGGTGCTGAGTCCTGTTGGAATGTCCAAGGTTTTAATACACCTGAATATTTTCGCGATACTATTCGGCATTTATTCTGATGCCAACACGGTCGATTAATATGAGCGGAGAGCGACTATCGGCTGTTATGACGGCCCACACCATCACCAAATTTGCTCATGTGCACATTTTCAGCTAACATCTTTGGGAAGTAAACACGATCATTTTGTTTGTTTACAAACTGCTGGAAAACCAAATTCGGCAGTTCACCAATTTCGGCCAAGCGAAGCAACTCTTTAGCTCTTTTGAGTCTATTTTATTTCTGTTGCGGTGTAAGTTCTTGCACTTTTTGGAATTTCAATGGCTTTACCCCGATCTCAATATTTGCCGAATAGAATATTGCGATATGTTCAGCTCACGAGTCAGTTTTCGGCCACTGTGACGCGGGTTTCGATCAAGTCGTTTCTTTACTTTTCGAACCATTTCTGCTGATGTTGCTGTTTTCTTCCGTTCACCTCCTTGAAGTCAGGCTACGCTACCAGTATCACGATAACGAGCGATGGTACGAGACACAAAAGATTTATTCACCATTAAATGCTGGAGTGCTCTAACGATAGCGAGTTGTGGTTTTCCAGCCGAATATAAAGAAATTAGACTATGACGCTTGAATTCCATCGCGAATATTTTTTTCCTTTAAAATTCTCACCAAAATGCTTTTGTACGCTTGTAAACAATATAATAAGCTGTCTCTGGAATAATTTTAACAGCTGTCGGACGAGTGGCTTAGAAATGAAAGCAGTCTGAAGTTTGTTGCATTTTTTTCATCTCACCCTGTATGTCAAATAAATCCACATATCCGTTTTAATATTTTGAAGTTCCGTGCTTCTATAATCAATATATTAAGTCCTGAGAAAAATGTGGAGTTTAAATAAATGGAATTTTTCATTTTATTTGAAATTGATATATGAATAACATATTAAAAAGGGTTGCCATTATCAATTTCTCAAATAAGACTACCATCTATAATTGTGCCATGAGGGAAATCTTTACAAATATACATAATACCTTTTGATTCTTGTGTATAAGCCCTTTTTTAATTCTACCATTTGTAAAGACTCCTGTCAATTTTTTTTGCGGGAAAAAATTTTACCATCCAAATAGATTGATTAGAAATATATATCCTAATTTAATAAAGACATTCACAGTTTCATAGTTAAATAGATTTAGCGATTAGTTTGCATAACATTTTTTATGCAAAATTCCTCAATGTTTTTGGCATATTCAAAATATTTCATTTGTTTTCCTATAGGTATTAATCGCATACAATATTATTTACATTTTTGTGTAAACCCTTTATTAAAAGTTCATGACATTTAAGCATGTAATCGGTTTTTTTAACAAAATTCCTATTACACTAAGCTCCCTTTTTAACTTTCACACCAAAATATGCAAACTCAAATGATTCTAAATCTCATTTGCCTTGAAATGTGATTGTTTCTGTTCTATTGCATTTTGACTTCCCAAAAATATCCTTTTGTTGTTGCTGTTTGATTTCTCCAAAGAGCTCATAAATACGAAAGTCAAATATTTGCAATTTCCCTTCTCGTTTTGGCTGTCGTTGTTGTTGTGTCATGGCTTGTTTACCATGGGAATATAAACATGTGGTTGATAATGTTGTTGCTACTGCTGCTGCTGCAGCAAAGCAACCCCCTTTTCTGTGATATTTATTTGGATTCACTCGTTACTCAAGCCTTGATCCCCAGAGATAGTGGAATCGAAAATTGTGTTTCATTATTTTCTGTTGTTTGTTTGTCGCTTTGATTGTGTCAACAATCTGGCTAATGAGTCTTAAATAGATTTTTATTTTTATGGGATTTTGGGCGGTGTGCGGCCGGGTTGGGCAGCCGTATCGCTCTGATGGTGTAACGAATTGCATAAATATTGCATGAAAGTGTTGCAATGTGTGATTTAATAATCCCTGGCAAGTGTACACGTGTTACAAAGTCAAAATGTTATGGCCGGACCATAATTGGAAAGGTTGACACCAAAAGGGACGATTATAATCAAACGATGGGAAAAATCTATAATATTCATTAATTTTTTATGCGAATATATAAGCAAAAGAAATTTAATGGCCACAAAAGGATTATTTAAATGTAAGAAAAGAATATTGTTTTTTTTTTAACCTCTCTGCAGAAAACAACGTTTCTGTGCAGCTTTTGAAATCATATGTATAAAAATTATATAAAATATTTAATTATCATTATTGTCATTTATTTTTATAATTTTATTTTTTATTATTTATTATATTATATTATATTATATTATGGTTGTATGCTACATTTAATGCTAACAAAAATTAAAAATATTAATTAAAATGTGCATGAGGAGGGATGTTGGACTACTAAAAATAAAATATTACTACACAAAATATAAGTAATAAAAATATAATATATATGATTAATTTGATAATGATTACTCAAGGATCAAGTGGATCCCACAGATCCCACAGATATAGAAATAAAAAATAGTTTGAAATTAAACCTAATTAAGAGTATTTATATTAAATTGAAAATTAGGTATTTGTTTAAATCCTATTTGTTGATTATGCGACCAATCTTATTTGACATGTAGATTTCACTATCAAAATAATTTAATTAAATATCTACGATCTAAACTAAATTCTCCCGAAAAAAACAAAAACTTGGTAATAAATTAAATGCTTGGTTAATGCCACTGGCATGTTTACATTAGAAATAGGACAGAAGTGTCACATTTATGTCAAACACCACATTAACATATATACACATTGAATTAATTAAACATGCTAAGCCCATACAATTGTGTTTTTTTTTATTTTTGAAGACGCATTTTTCTGGGAAACTAATAATAACAACATTAGACATAAATTAAAATAAGCAAAACACATCACAACAAATGTCCTATATAAGATTAATTCAATACATATTTTTTTTACATATATACACGTTAGGTCAATTTGGGGACCATTTTTAGCAAAAAATAATATGTTACCCAACATTGGAAGGAATACATAGTCCATTTAAAAATCTCTTAATATTCCCCAATAATAAATGAGTGAACAACACATTATAAAATTCATACAATGTGTAAAAAAATACTAGAAAAAAGTTAGCATAAAAACATTTCTTTCGTCCTTACATAAGGGTTACGTTTTATACAGCGTCTATCTACTACAGCTCTACTCGAGAAAAATACAAAAATCACCACCTCACCACCCTTCGACGACTAATCCCACATTAAATCATCATGAACGATATTTATGTTTGGTTGTGTGCTACGTAAAAAACAACAACAAATCAAATATTCCAATAATCCTTGCAAGAAAGAAAGAAAAAAGGATAACAACAAACAAGTGCATATGTTTCTACTTGTAATGCCAAAGAATGGGGGAGGAACGATTTTAATACTCGTCGATTGGGTGATAAAATATTCTTCTATGGTGGTGACTCGGTATTATAAGGACGGGTGGTAGAGATAGCCAAGCTGAAAGTCAAAGTTGTAATGATTTAATAAAATGTCACTGTGTTGATGTTAATAATGATCGATGTTGTTACAGAACCGCATACAAATTAGATTTTAAATTCGAAAATCATGAAAATTGGAATTAATTGCGAAATAAAAGAGTTTTATGGAGTTTTAGAGTTGACATTGTTTTCCTAATATGGCAATTTTTCACTGTAGTGGAAATTTGTTACATTAAATTGGGGGGCGAGATTCAAAACAATCTATCACAGCTTAGATATTTAATAAAAGTCAGCTAATTTTGATGTCAACAAAATTTTACAAATCGGATTATCTGGGAAAAAAAACCCAAATCATGAATATTCACTAACAGATGTTCAGAAAATTGTGTCAATTAAATGTTACACGTTTTAATGCGATCCCATATATCGACGCCTCCGAACCATTGTATGCTAAGTCAACTTAGCATGTTTTAAAGTTCTTTACGTTTATAGATACTACTGTCCTTAATTTAAATTCACTGGAATTTTGGTAATCATCGGCCAATCCAAACCAAAGTTATAAGCAAAAATGTACTTATCATGGCACATAAGATTACAGAAACTTCCATACTTTGAAAGCTTCTACTGAAAAACTCACTTTTCAGACTTAGCATACTATGGTTCGGATGCGTCGATAGATAAGTCGATTTTAATTGGAATTAAAAAATTAACCATAACATGCGTAAAAAATCTTCAATTTTTACAACTTCGATATAAAATATTAAAAAACCAAAAGTTGTTGTAGTAATTTAAAACAAATTTAATTAAAAAAAAATAATTTATAAAAACTAATTACATTTTTATAATATATGTACAACATTTAAGTTAACTGAAATAATACTGTTTAAAAACACTAAAAATTATTTTTTGAGTAATACTACTGTAATTCCGGTTATAAAAATTTAAAAACTTTAATATTAACCATTCCATTATTATTCTCTTATCTGACCGACAAGTCATTCAACAATTCTTAAAATCGAAAAATCATTAAGAAATCACCGCCAAAGAAACGAAAGAGACACAGCGACGACGTATTATATGAGTAGCTACACAGATTACAAACATACATGCATAGACACACACACACACTATAGTGATTAAATGATTGATTAAAGTATTTTAGTTGAACTCTATTGTTCTACGATTTATAAATTTGTACGCATTAAAAAGCGTTATATTCTTCATTTGCAGCCAATGAGACGTCAGCTAATCGACGGATGAGTACATCGGAATTTCTTTTGACTTTCACATCCGAATAATATAAAATTAAACGCCATACTGGATGGGACGTTAATTTTCGGATTTTGTTGTTTCTATTTCTCTTTTCATTGCCGCCGATATGGAAAAACTTTAAAATAATCGCAATCGAAACAACTTGTGTGTCCATGGAAAAGTGTGAAATAATTTTAACATTAATCAAAAATTGATCTATCGAAGACTGATAGACATAATGTCTGGCCCATGAAATCAAATACAAACGGAATTAAAATTAATTAATTTCGTAACTTACCAAAATTTGATACATATCTTAACCTATTATCTATCAAATTTTGGCGAAGTCTCAATGATGTTTGCTTATAAATACATTTCTGAGAATTTATTTTTTATATATATTTTCCAATTAATTAAGGGATACTCTTTCTCCCGCTCAATCACTTTTAATAATCATCTAAAATTTAAATTAATAAATCAAATGAAAAACGAGTATAAGGACATCTGTACGTGATTTTATAAACATAGTCAAGCCACTAGCCTCTGTACTGCTTGTTTACGTTATTATCACACAGAAGTTAAGGACAACTGCATTACCTCATTCGCAGTTTTCCTATGTTCGTCTTCCTTACTATTCTTTTTGTCCGATTTTCGACCTTGAGATCCCTATAAATTGATTAGAGTTTTGTTTTGATTCCTAATAACAACTGGAACGTTTTTTATTTAGTGGTCCTCAAACAGATGGAACGTTTTTATTTGTAATCGGTAAAAAAGCGCGCAAAGGAAGGCTTCACACACTCATCAAAAAATCATTGGAGGATTCAAAGAAGAAGAACAAAATTGGCAAAATCTGAAAAATCAATAGAAAACAATGCAGCCGGTGAGATTTTTGACGTTTTTTTTTATCAAATTCAGCTATTAATTCACTCTTTTCGCAGACTATTGCTTCTTTTTTCCAAAAATCCTCGTCGAATAATGCAAGCAAGCCAAAAGAAGATGAGCCAAAGAAACGGAAAGCTCGAGTTATATCCAGCGACGAGGACGATGAAGTTGTACCGGCATCCCCACATGTTTCCAAAACAAAGCACAGCAAAAAAGCCAAAACCGAAAGTAATGGCTCGGGCACATCCAAATCATCTCCCACATCGCCAAAGAAATTAAAATTGGACAAACTGAAAACCAAGTCTCCCAAAAAAGATGCCGCAGTAAAGCCGGTTGATCCAATGTCTTTGTTTGGTGGGGAGACAAAGCGCATTGAAGCTAAGAAGCCACCCAAGCCCAAGGATAAGGCTTTACAAGAACTTGAGGATGATGACATTGATAAGAGTTTAATGGAAATCGATTTGGAGGAAAGTGTTTTGGAAACAACAAAGGACAAAGAGGTTGATATCTCTAAAAAGGAAAAGAAAGAAAAGTCCGAAGAAGAAAAAAACACACCCACTAATCAGAAAATAAAAGAAGAAAAACGAACACCCAACAGCGAGAAAATTAAAGAAGAAAAAGCCACACCAACTAATGTCAAAGTCAAAGAAGAAAAAACACCAAGAAGTAAAAAACATTCCCCGGGTGATCAAGATGAGGGTGAAAAACCAAAATCAGCAAGAAAATCCAAGGCAGATTTAGATTCCAGTGAGACAGAAATTAATTATATAGTGAAAAATAAACTCCATTATTTTCATATGTAACGTTTTTTAGGCATTTTAACCGATGAAGAACGTCATGAACGCAAGCGCATGACTGCGATTTTGTATCAAAAATATAAAAATCGTTCATCTGTCCTCAATCCTGGATGTAAAGAAGTTCCCAAGGTAAATGAGAAACTTGCTTTGATTTGCCTATGAATCATTAAATTGTTTCCAATGCTCATACACACAGGGTAAACCAAATTGTTTGGCTGGATTGACGTTCCTAGTAACCGGCGTATTGGAATCGCTGGAACGAGATGAAGCATGTTCTATTATAAAAGAGTATGGGGGCAAAGTTATGACCACTGTGGGTAAACGATTAAACTATCTCATAGCCGGCGAAGATTCTGGTCCCAAGAAGCTAGCCCAGGCCGAAGAGTTTAATGTAAAAATTATAACGGAAGATGATTTCCTTAACCTAATAAGAGAAAAATCGGGCATTAAAGTAGAAAATTGTGTTAAGGAAGAAGAGGAAAAGCCCACTACTAGCCCCAAGAAGAAGGAGGACATTAAAATCAAAAAAGAAAAGGAAAGTACTCCTCCAGAAAAGAAAAACAAAATGGATGAAATCAAAATTAAGAAAGAGAAATTAGACTCACCGCCTGAGAAAAAGCCAAAAATAGAAGAATTAAATAACAACTTATCAGAAAATAAAATCAAGAAGGAACTTAAGGAGGACTCGCAGGCAAAGCAGTCAATCAAAGAGGAATTCCCCAGACCTCCACCTGTAACAGAGGATATGATGGCTTGGGTGGACAAATATAAACCAACATCCGTTAAAGACATCATTGGTCAACAGGGTCCGGCCAGTAATGTGGCTAAGTAAGAATTGTCTTCCTAGCGGTATTATAATATATAAATAATTCAATATATCTTATCATTAGGCTTACAAACTGGCTTTCGAAATGGTACATCAATCACGACGGAAAAAAGAAATTACAAAAGCCCAATCCTTGGGCTAAAAACGATGATGGTAGTTTTTATAAAGCGGCTTTGCTTTCCGGACCACCTGGAATAGGTAATGCTTAAACTCATTCAGTAAGTTAGAAACTGAGATTTACTTTAAATGCATCACTTCTTCAGGGAAAACTACGACTGCAACATTGGTATGCAAAGAACTGGGCTTTGACACGGTGGAATTTAATGCTTCGGATACCCGAAGCAAACGACTGCTGAAGGAAGAAGTGTCCGAATTACTTTCGAATAAATCTCTTTATGGCTACTTCCATGGCAATGCACAGGCGGTTACCAAGAAACATGTTCTCATTATGGACGAAGTTGATGGTATGGCTGGCAACGAGGATCGCGGAGGTATTCAGGAATTAATTGGACTCATTAAGGAGTCATCGGTTCCCATAATTTGTATGTGTAATGATCGCAACCATCAAAAGATGCGATCACTTGTTAACTATTGCTATGATCTGCGTTTCAATCGACCACAATTGAAACAAATTAAAGGTCGAATATTAAGTATTTGTGCCAAGGAGAATATTAAACTTGACTCCACAAAATTGGATGAGATTATATCGGCCACTAATAATGATATCCGACAGTCTATTAACCACATTTCATTGCTTAGTGCGGGCAAGGAATTAAACTTGACTTCGGATAATAAGTTGTCCAAAGAGGATGAGAAAACGGCCCAAAAGGATTTGAAAATGGTAATTTGATTAACATACCGTTTCTATACGGACAATTTATTTATTTCAATTTTTAGGGACCGTGGGATGTTGTACGTAAAGTATTTTCGGCGGATGAGCATAAAAACATGACATTTTACGATAAATGTGATCTCTTCTTCCACGACTACAGTCTCGCCCCTCTGTTTGTTCAACAGAATTATTTGATAGTTAGTCCAGCCGGACCGAAGTAAGTTTACTAATACGCGTTAATATTTTCATAACTAAGAAAGTAATCTTACAGATCGGAAGTCATACGCAAAGTTGCCAACACAGCAGACTCCTTGAGTTTGGGTGACCTGGTAGATAAAAAGATTCGTTCCAATTCTGCTTGGGCATTGTTGCCTACACAAGCTATTTTCAGTTCAGTTATGCCAGGAGAATATATGAGTGGACATTTTGCAGGTCAAATAAATTTTCCCGGCTGGCTGGGAAAAAATTCACGTTCTACCAAGCGCAGTCGTTTGGCCCAGGAAATTCATGATCATACACGTGTAAAAACCTCGGGATCGCGCCTTTCCATTCGATTAGATTATGCACCATTTTTATTGAATAAGATAGTGAAGCCTTTGGTCGATAAAGGCGCAGATGGTGTGGAAGAATCTCTGGAAACTTTAAAGGAATATCATTTGCTCCGAGAAGATATTGAAAGTTTAATCGAACTTACGACCTGGCCGGGTAAAAAGAGTCCAATGGATGCTGTAGATGGCAAGGTAAAAGCTGCGCTCACGAGGGCTTACAATAAAGAAGTTATGGCCTACTCGTATTCAGCAACAGCTGGTGTAAAGAAGAAGCGTGCTGAGGCATCAGATGATTTTGATGCTTTGGGCGGTGGAATGGAAGAAGGTGAAGAAGGAACAACCAATGTCGTCGAATCCGAAGATGAGAATGATGATAATTTGGAAAATGATGGATTAATAAAGGTTGGTATTGAAATCAGCAGGCTAGTATTATACGTGGCTGTTACTAATTTGACATTTTATTTACTTTAAAATAGGCTAAAAAGAAAACAGCAGTATCTACAAAGGCTTCCACGTCAAAAGCATCGACATCTAAGAAAACAACTGCTGCAAAACCAAAGGCAGCAGCCAAATCAAAGAAATAATTTATTTTGCAACTGCATGTTTGAATATTGTTAAATGTTTGTGATTATTTGTCATTGAAATAAATTTATGTACATTTAAATACTTAAGAAAATCTCTTAAATATGTGAATGTTATTCGGTGGTGTGGTTGGTAATTTATGTGGGTTGGCTAAACATATTGTCACTGGTGTCGGATCATTATTGGGACTCGGAAACCCTTTTTGGTGTCTTGTCTTCGATATGTTTGGCGTCATCTGGCAATTGTATATTAACAGCATCCAAAGCTTCTCGTATCCATTTTGGTATAGGTTCGTCCACAAAATGTTTACTCATGAAATCTTTCACAAATGCCGGGAACTGGTCTTGTTCAATAGCTTTGCGCATTGACCGCATTAAACGCAGTTGGAAAGCTATATTGTGTACACTTAAAAGACTGCACGATACACTTTCTATTGTCACAACATGATGGAGATATGATCTAGTATAGAGTTTGCATGTACTACATTCACAGTCTTCATCAATTGGTCTCATATCCAGGGCATATTTCTTATTCTTCAAATTCAATTGTCCCTCCATGACCAACGCGCTACCAAATCGTGCTGTTCTGGTGGGGAAAACACAGTCAAACATATCTATGCCCAGGGCTACGCATACAACCAAATCTGCTGCAAAGCCTACTCCCATCAAATAACGAGGTTTATCCTTCGGCAGCAGATCTGTGCATGTGTGAACTGTTCGCCAAAATTCGTCTTTACTTTCTCCTCCACTCAAACCACCAACTGCATAACCTCTTACCTTTCTTTCCATGAGGCCGCTTACGCACTTCTTGCGAAGTTCCGGATCTAAACCACCTATAACATGGAAGATTAGTTTAAGATATATTTGACAAAACACATTTTTTTATCTTGCCTTGGACTATGGGAAATAAGCTCTGATCATCATCGCGGGCATGAGCTTTTATGCATCTGTCTACCCATCTGATGGTGCGATGCATGGCCTCCTCAACCCTTGGACCTGTTGTAGTTGTTTTCACAACATCATCCAACTGCATCATAATATCAGCACCAATAGCATTTTGTATTTCAATGGAATGTTCCGGAGTCAACATGCATTCGGAATTATCAAAGGGTGATCGAAAATTAACGCCTTCTTCAGTGATTTCAGCCAATTGCAGTAGCGATACCATTTGAAAGCCACCGGAATCGGTTAAAATGGCCCTAGGCCAGCTCATAAATTTGTGCAAACCACCAGCTTTTTTAAGTACATCAATGCCAGGTCTCATGCCCAAATGATAGGTATTGGACAAAAGAATTTGACAATTCAAATCAATTAGCTGATCTGGAAGAACACCTTTCATGGTGCCTTGTGTTCCAACTGGCATAAAAACAGGAGTATTGACTTCGCTGTGCCTCACAACCATTATTCCTGCCCTGGCTTTTGAAGCAGAACATTCTGCAATAACTTTATACGTAAGCGGAGGAACTTTATTCGCAGCCATGACGAGTTTTTAATACAGATTTTTTTCTATTTAAGGTTCCTCCCGGTGCTATCGGTGCTATGGACCCTCGCTATCTTCGTCACGACAAGATTGGCATGGTACCCAAAGAGATTATGATTACTCGGTATTCAATGTCATCATGGCTATAATAACAAATGAGTTGGCAGCACTATGGGATTGACATTTGAGATCGAGTGGCACATCGGCACCAGGCCGATGAACGTTTATTTATCGGCGGCTCAGACAAATAACAACAATTACAAACAGGAACAGCTGTGTTTAGGTACTCGGTTCGTTTGTTTTCACCTCGTTCGTAAACACGCGAGTCGTCCTCATCTCGTTTGCTTTCAACTTCATTCGCCAGGTTGATTTTCGTCTCGTTTGCTTTCATCTCAGTTTACAGGGTTGCAATTGGCTGTAACTCGTAATCTTCTCTTCTGGGGGCTTACTGGCTGGACTGGAATCACACACCACACAGAGGGAGAAAGAAAAGAAAGTTTAGTTCTGTAATTACCTTACCTTTCATACCTTTCGTAATATCGTCGTCAATATAAACAAATTGAATACAAGCAATATACAAGAATTAATGAACGATTAGCAGTAGAAATTATTTGCGTCGCATCGCTCCAATTGACATTGAAAACTTGGAAAGGAAAGGAATTCAGTAGAAATGTTTCGCAGTCGCAGTTGGTTTGGTGGTGGTTGGAATAAACCCAAAAACCGTCTATCGTTGGATCACCTGAAGTATTTGTACAGTGTTTTGGAAAAGAACACAACAGTGTCGGAAAATAATAGAGGCTTACTTGTGGAATCTTTGCGAAGTATAGCTGAGATATTGATATGGGGTGATCAGCACGATTCATCAGTATTTGAGTAAGTGTTGGATGGCAATCGTGGCAACCATGGTACTCAGTTAGAGTCTTCCATACCCACAGATAGATATTCTAATTGCCTGCCATTCTATAAATATGCACTGTTCTTATCTCTAAACTTATTATTGTAGTTTCTTCTTGGAGAAGAATATGCTGTCCTACTTTCTTCATATTATGCGCCAGAAAAGTGGAGGCTCCAGTTTTGTGTGTGTTCAACTATTGCAGACATTAAATATTCTATTCGAAAACATTCGTAATGAAACTTCTTTGTGTAAGTCACACACTATGCAAATATGATGGGGATTGTATCTGAGACGTTCTCTTTCTTTTTTTAGATTACCTTCTAAGTAATAATCATGTCAACTCGATTATTGTACATAAATTCGACTTTTCCGACGAGGATGTCATGGGATACTATATATTATTCCTGAAAACATTAAGTTTGAAATTGAACACCCATACCATTCACTTCTTCTACAATGAGGTAAATGCTTATTGACGTAACTGCGATTGTCGCTTGATTTTCATTTGGTTTTCAGCATACAAACGATTTCCCTCTGTATACGGAAGCAATTAAATTCTTCAATCATCCGGAGAGTATGGTGCGAATAGCAGTTCGTACAATTTCCTTGAATGTTTACAAAGTACAAAACGCCAGCATGTTACGTTTTATAAGAGACAAGTGAGTAGACCTAAATTGGTAATCGAGCAATCGAGTCTTTCATAATCTTCGTTTTCCATTACAACGGCTGCCCCATACTTTAGTAACTTGGTGTGGTTCATTGGTAAACATATTTTGGAATTGGACAACTGTGTGCGCACCGATATAGAGTAAGTAATTAGCTACATTGTGACAATATCAAGATCATGACATGTTTTCTCTACATTTCAGCCATCAATCGAATCAAAAACTCTCTAATTTGGTTGCGGAACATTTGGATCACCTGCATTATTTGAACGACATACTTTTATTAGAGATCAACGACTTGAATGCTGTCCTAACGGAACACTTGCTGCATAAACTTTTTGTACCCCTTTATATATTTTCACTAACACCGGCACCACCTCCGCCATCCTTGGCCCTGGTTACACAAAATTTAGCTGCAGTTTTGAATCGCAATGTCGACATTGATATTCAGGAAATGCAGAATCCCAGAGTCTCGTCAATAGTGGCTTTGTATTTACTGTCATTGGTATTTTTGGTGGTGACACATTCCCCATTGGTTCATGCCTTGGCATGGGTTATATTGAATGGAGATAATAGCGTATTCAAAGAAGGGGCTACCTCAGTTCTCTACGAGGAACATCGCCAAGCTGTGGTTCCTAGTTTCACCGAACCACGTGAGAGTTTGGAACAGGCATTGGATACAGCAGCTAATTTTTCCGGTTACTCATATGGAGAAGAAACCACCGAGGACAGTTTGGTGACTGGTCATAACAATGATTCACCCACAACTACCAACAACCAACCTGTTGAAGAAACAGAAATCCATACTTCTACTGAAGCCTTAGAAAATGTTGTCTCTTCCACCTTGTCCAATGCAGCCAAATTGGCAAATATCACCGATGAAGAAAAGGAGAAATTACAACAATTAACATCTCCAACAACAACGACGACGACAGTGATACATCCTACATTAAACAGACCATTTTTGGATACAGTTCTATCGGCTTTGGACTGTTCGGAGAACGACTATTTGGCTTTATTGGCACTTTGTTTAATCTATGCCATGACATTTAACAAAGGTTGTATTTTTGTAATCACTAACCACATATTAGAATATTCATATTTCCTTTTTCGAATCTTACTATTCATGCTGCTCGCTATTTCTAACTTAAAATTATTACGTTTGAGTAGATGGTATGTAAATGATCACCTATTTCCTGAGCTATTCAGCTGCTTACTCTAAAACTTTTCTTCAAATATTCAACTAGTGCTATACATTCGAATCTTACATGAATTTATATGAATTATATCTAAGGAAAATCTCATTAATACCTATTTATACAAATCTCTTAGGAGTCAAGAATGATTGGTTTCACCAGGTGCTATCGAAATCCAATGGAACTCTAAGTTATAAATCTGAAATAATTGAACGTTTATTAAATATTATAACGTTGTCCAATCAACCGTGTAAGTAATTAATGACACATACATAGTATCCATACAGGTATTGATGTGTTGATTTCTTCCTTTCCAATACAGCATGTCGCATTCGACTTATCACCATTGAAATAGCTTTACATCTTCTGGTGACCTTCACAAAACCCACAGAAGATTCGTCTACCGCCACCTGTATAACAGAAGCCCAACAAGATCTACTGTTTGCAGCCCGTAATCAATCTATGTCTGTCTTGCGAAATTTCTATAAATCGGAAGATATATTCCTTGACTTATTCGAAGATGAATACAATGAGATGCGCAAAACAAATTTGAACGTCGAATTTCTATGCATGGACTCTGCGATTCTGTTGCCACCCACCGGTACTCCACTGACGGGTATACCATTTACTCGACGTCTTCCCTGTGGAGAAGTCGAAAAGGCAAGGAGAGCTATACGAGTATTTTTCTTATTACGAAAAACGTGCCAACAGTATCTAAACGAAAAGGAAACTATGTTGCCTCTGACGAACGCGGTTAACCTGGTGCAAATAGACAATGTCTTGGATTTAAGTAACTAATATGAGGATTTCAATGTGGAGAAAGAATGTATACTTTACCGATTATTATGTTTGTTTCAGACAACAGCGACCTGATAGCATGTACGGTAATTGCCAAGGACAACATTAAACAGCGTCGATTCCTGGTCATTGATTCATTGCAGCTGATCTTAGTAGAACCAGATGCCAAACTACTGGGTTGGGGTGTTGCCAAATTTGTTGGATTCCTACAGGATGTCGAAGTTGTTGGAGACAAAGATGATAGCAGATGTTTGCATATAACTGTACATCGCGGCGGTGCCAGTCACAACCGCACACCCTTAATATCTGCCAAGTTTTTATTCGATGATCACATTAGGTGTATGGCTGCAAAGCAAAGGTTGACAAAGGGCCGTAGTAAGGCACGTCAAAAGAAAATGTACCAAATAGCACAGATGATTGAAATACCCGGCCAGGTGATTGATTCTCCTGTTTATGCTGTAGCTGGCTTGAGATCTGCCAGTGGGCCCAGTAGTAGTAGCAGTTCGAGATCTTCGCGTGATCACAGACCAATTTTTTCTACTAATAATCGTGTGCCCGGTTTCGCTGCTGCTTTACGGAGGGAAAATGTATCGGGTGGCGTAAGTCGTATTCAAATGGCTCAAAATCGATCTATTGAAGGGTAATTATGGTGGCATATTACATATTTTTATAATTAAAAATAATTGAATTTTTGTACAGTATACGCAATGAGGGCTCAGGCCGTTCTCGCAGACGCAGTCCAACTTCCAGCGCTGGTGCAAGTAATGGAGATACCGGTTCTTCGCAACGTGAACATTCTCATTCTCCCAGTATAGGTGCCAAAAGTTCTTCTCAATCAAGAGACAATTCATTACAAAGAACATCGCGTGAGGGTAGTCCTCTCACACAAAGACCAAGGTATTTCAGTCCTAATTCTATTTTTGTTGCACCTAATATCCATATTGCATGTAATTACAGGTCTGAGGAAATTCCCTTGGAAGATTTTCAACATTCTCGGAATAACAGTCCGCATGGAAGAACACCTTCATCTTCCTCTAATGCCGGTTCACGTTCTCATACGCCATCAAGAGCGTTAAATTTTGATCAAATATCAGTACACAATGCCTCGCCCCGTAGAGATAATGCAATATCAAATCAGGTCAATGGAGTTTCAAGCAGTAAGGATAATGTATTACATACTCAAAAGTCGTCGGAAGAAACCTCGTTCATAGCTACAGAAGAGACAAACTCTTCCAATAGCACAGCTGGTTCTAGTGCTGCAAGACGCAAAGGAACCATAGAAACTGTTTAAAAAAGCAGTTCGGTTGAAAATAAATATACAAATATATTTTATAAATTAGTATAACTTTAAATAATTGTTGCACGGTAATGGTGATTTGTTTTAATAGTTGATAATAGATTTATTTAAAAAACAAGATTTTATTTGACCGCACTTACAAACAAATGTTAACTAAAACCATATATTTATATATTCTACATTTAATTGATTGTAAATAACAAATATTTAGAATACAATTGTATGTTATTTTAATACTAAACTAGAAATACAAACAAATAATATACGTAACCGAATCGTGGGAAATATTTAAAATTAAAATAACAGTTAACAAAGAAAAAATAATATAATAATAAAGATGTTTTATGACATTATCTAATGTGTTTTGGTATGTAATGCAACTGCTGTAATGTTGGGTGCAATCTATTTAAATTCAATATTGTCAATATATTTGACTTTCCATACACTTGTGTGTGGTTTTCGAAAGTGTAGGTCATTCTGTACATTTCAGTGTGTGTATTCGGATTAATTTTTGAAACACTTGTTCTACAGAGAATATGTAATATTTTACCCGGAAAGAAATGTTTTTACGAAATAAACTTTTTTTTGAAGCTTGAATAAAACATAGAAAAAAATCTAAATTACACGTTGCAAATACACTGCAATTTTAAAAAAAAAAGGAAAAACCATATGTTGGAAATTGTTTACGTATCAATTGTCGTATCTTTACACTTTTATGTCTTTGTAGAATCCTCCAGTAGTGCAGTTCTGTAACACTGTTTTTCGTTACCAACAAATATCGATAAAATGTTGGAAATTGTTTACGTATCAATTGTCGTATCATTACACTTTTATGTCTTTGTAGAATCCTCCAGTAGTGCAGTTCTGTAACACTGTTTTTCGTTACCACAAATATCGATAAAATTAAAAGACTATTTTTTTAAGTTAAAATAAGAATTTATGATAACATTTTCTATGTGTCTGCTACTTTATTCGTTTACTTACCGGGTATTTTCGTTAATTAACTAAATTATAAGCAAATGAAAATTTTGTATTCTGTTTTTTCTGTTATAGTCGATAATTCTGCCGTTATAGTTACACACCACTGATCTGAAATGGGTTAATTGTATTTTGCGGAACGCTTTTCGCTTAGGTGCGCACACAGCTAGTCTTGTCATAAGTGACATAACAAAAATTCATTCCGACCGATTTAAGGCACTGGAGGAGGAAGTCAGAAATTCTTGGAAATGTCTGCGAAGAAGTATACGGATTTGGTTAAATTGGGTACACAATATGCCCGAAGGATGAACTATTTGTCCAATCGCATTTTCGGCGAAGTGGCTCGCACGACAAATGAAAAATCAATGAAGGTTTGTTCAGTGGATTCTTCTGCCCTGTTGTTTTTGTTTACAATGTGCTTATGTTGTGTTATTTAGGTGGTGCGAATGTTCAGCGAAGAGCCGGTGGACAAGCGGGACTACGTTGTAAATTGGTATCCTCGTCATGTCGAGACACATGTACTAATGATGAACCTTAGAGATTATGGCCTATTCAGAGACGAACATCAAGATTTCAAAGAGGAAATGAAACGTATGCGTAAATTGAGAGGCAAAGCTCCACCTAAAAAAGGCGAGGGCAAACGATCAAAGAAATAGATATAAATTTTATTTTGTTAATTTATTATTGGAAATCAGTAGCTTAGCTAGTCCCTGAAATACAATGTTATTCTCTTGTCTACATTCATAAGTAATTGTGGAAATTTTACGTTCGTTTCGTGTTTCTATTAGAAATTCACATTCGATATTTATTCGACATGGTTTGGGAAATTTAAAATTCTGTTCCAAAACAATTGTTCCTGGCGGAAAGTGAGTACCAATGAGACCAGCAACAACTGCGTTTAGAAAGGCTCCATGCACCATACGGGTTTCAGCTGGTAAACTAGTGCTATGGATTGGATTAGGATCGCCGGTTAGCTGCGAAAACTTGTCAAGATCATCCTGAGTAAACGTCTTAACCAATTTTAGTTGTCTTTGCTGTGCTGTTGGCGTTGAATTAAGGCATCTTTTAATAGCCATATTACTTAGCTGGCTCCTCAATAAATTCATATCGTCTACAGAAATCCAATAGCAGCAAGTCAGTAATGTTGGCTAGTCTTTTGTTGCTTTTAAATTGGGAATTTAGGTGTTGAATGCGTTTTACTGTATCCCCGGATAGCATGTCTTTCTTCTCTCCTTCCTGACTACTCAATAGTTGATATATTACGGTACAACAGTTCAGCAGAATTTCAACATTCAGTGTATTTGTAAGCAATTGCTGTATAAGTTTTAAATTGTCAGGTTTCCTTAGAAACTGAGATATATCGAGATCTGAAATAAGGATAAGTCTTTATTCTTCGAAGAAACCTCCTTCATCTACATACCCAAACAGATGTTACACAATCCAGCGATTCCATGCAACTTTAGTGTTTCGTTGCTGGTCGCCAACAGCTCTAGGAACACTTGAATTGCTTCCTTCTTTTTCAAATACTCCCAGTTGATGGGATCATAAGCGAAATTGGCAAGATTAGCGGTAACCTGTTCTTGTGCTTCTGCAAAACGGTGAATTCCGTTTAATTAGAAAATTAAGGTAAATGATATTTTACCCCATTGCATACCTACATTAGTAGTGGTGTAGTATTCCTCCACCAGGTGTTCTATAAATTCCTCACGATTAATTCCCGGACACGGAGTTTTTCTTTTCAGTCCCTTGTGGGAACTGAACATGCTGCTTCCTTGTGGGAAGTCTGCTCAATTTGGAAATGGCATCACTGTAAACTGAGGTGGAAGCAAACGAGCCGAGGAGCCATGTTTACGAATGGGGAGAAAGCGAACGATATGAGGACCTAAACAGCTGTTATTGTTGTTAGTTTTCTGCGCCGTTAAATAAACGTCCATCGGCTTGTTTCCTTGAACTAGTTCAACTAGGGTTGCTCGCAGTTCAATCGTTAATACGCCTTTTTAAAATTAATTTAAATTATATATATTTCATTATTAACTGATTGACAACATAGGCAGAATTAAAAAGACAACAAAATGTCAGATCATCATCGTGGCATGAAAATAGTAAATAAAAACAAATGCAACAGAATAAATAAAAACAAATGCAACAAGTCGTTATGTTCCTCTAAGATATTTTTACCAAAAACGCAAATAATAAATGGAATGTAAAGTTTTCTAATCAAATTCGAGTTGGGAATAAGATTTGAGTATTGATTTATTCACAAATCATAAATTTCTTCTTACCAATGTTTTAAAATTCATCTTGAATGAAATTCTATCAAATTTATTTTTCTATCGCTTCCACATCTTTCCTATAATTGAGCCATTGCTACTAATATGGGAAACACATATGAAAATGCAGAGAATTGCCAGTTATTCCATGAAGAAAGATTTGCTTCCTCAAACTTTCCCAGCAGGCAGATTGAGTAAATTGAATACGGGAGCACATTTAATAAGGAACAATTTCAAATTGTATGCGCTCCCAATTTTCCTGTTGGGTGATTTTTAAAAACATAATTTGTCAAATTCATATTGACACCAGTATTACGCTGGAATCAAATCAGCTGGGATTTGCTGTTACCTTTTATAATTGTACCATCCAATTACGCAAAGATATTTGTATTGCTTTGAAAACATTTGCTAGTCCCTGTACACAATAAAGTAAATTCATGATGTAATATACATGAAAATAGGCATTCTTAGATCAAGTTCCCCATTACAATAATTAAAAAAAAATTGTTTATCTGAGGAAGTCGATCTTAGAACTCATAATTTCTTGTAATTTGTTTCATGAAATCACATTAGTGTGACTTTCCTTTTGCCGAATTTATCTGAAGAAATTTCCCAACAAAATATAGCGCACTCTATTTAGGGTAGTTTGTACTCAATTTCATAGTATTAATGTTTTGTATACATAATCGGCAATACAACTCTGGTCTTCAACTGCACCTCACTTAAGCTCAATTCCGGTAACCAACTTTCTTTTTGTCTTCGCCGTCTGAGAAGAACAGTCGGTATATAGAACCTGAGAAATGGTAAGATAATATATTTTTAAAAGTATTTTTATTTGTTAAAAAATACTGAACAATAACTAATGTGGTTCAATAAATTGTTAAAATTGTGATCATGAAGACGCACATCTATACATACACACAATTCGTTTGAAAAGTGTACATATTCGCCATCTTTATAAAATGAAAAGTAAACATGTGGTTACCAAAAATTATTTTAGTAAACAATAAATATTTATAGTAAAGTCGTTTTTAACAAACGGAAAAGAAAAATAAAATTATTTTGTTGTTCTGTTGCCCTTGTGTAATATTTGCCACGTTTTAACAATTCATAACCTCAATCTTTGTTCATGACACTATTCCTGATTTGCTTGCAACCATTCTAACATTTTTTTTTCTCTCTTACAGTCTCACCGTAAATTCTCGGCTCCTCGCCATGGTTCCATGGCCTTCTACCCCAAGAAGCGCTCTGCCCGTCATCGTGGTAAGGTGAAGGCTTTCCCCAAGGATGACCCCAGCAAGCCCGTCCATTTGACTTGCTTCCTTGGCTACAAGGCTGGTATGACTCACATTGTTCGTGAAGCTGACCGTCCTGGCTCAAGTAAGTGCACCCAAATCGTTGAATTCTTCGGAAAAACTCCTTTAATTATCTTTCCATGATGAGAAACAGTTAATTTTTTATGGTTAGAACAAAAATGATTTCCATGATTATAATTTAACTAGGGCGGACTGATATCTCATATTTGGAAAGAATATTGTTCATTGAATTTGTCACATTCCTAACATGTTGTTCTTTGCTTCCTTATATTCTAGAGATTAACAAGAAGGAGGTCGTTGAAGCCGTTACTGTTTTGGAAACTCCACCAATGATTGTTGTTGGTGCCGTTGGCTACATCGAAACTCCCTTCGGTTTGCGTGCCTTGGTTAATGTCTGGGCTCAGCATTTGTCCGAAGAATGCCGTCGTCGCTTCTACAAGAACTGGTATGTATCTAATGACAAGACGCCATTTTCTTTTACCGTCAACGAACGAACACCACGTGTTTCTCCAAACACATTTATGTGTTGGTCACTTTGTTAAATGATGATAGATGGTATCTGAGAGCTCTTATGAGGATATTTAAATGTATTACCATCTCTGCCTGCCTTCCTTCTGATCGACAATGTAATCAACACTTATCTTTACTGGAGAAACAGTGGAATATGAGATAAAATTGTTGTTGTTGTTATACATTACTTAATATAAAAATCAATATAAAGTTCTTGGATCAGTGTTACACTGAGAGGGCTTTTAAAATACACAGTGTCTGGATGAGCTATGAAATTTGACAATTTGTATGAATTGGATAAAATTTCATTGTGGCGAGCCCGGACTGGAAGATGCAATCTCCGCTCACTTGCACGTGATGAGGTTCGCTTCCGTTTTGTTTATTTTGAAAACAGCTACGATATTGCGTTTCTTTTAAAACCAATGGAGCTGCCCAGCAAGAGGATAACTGGATCGTGATCTCACGTTGACATTGCTTTAAGGCGACGACAGTAAACTGCCGCCATATTTGTCACCAAAAGCTAACGATTGATTTCATTGATTGTAACCAGGTACAAATCCAAGAAGAAGGCTTTCACCAAGGCCGGCAAGAAGTGGAGCGATGATTTGGGCAAGAAGAGCATTGAAAACGATTTCCGCAAGATGCTCCGTTACTGCAAAGTCATCCGTGTTATTGCTCACACTCAGGTAATTATTGTAACAATTGAATTCGTATTAATATAACACACGCGACGTCCTTGGTCATTAACGCGCTGTGCTGTAGCCGAGCCTTCGGGCGAAGTGGCGGCGCGGCGTGTAGATGTTCCTAAAAGGCGGTCTGGCTGTGATGCTCAATGCGCAGTAATTAACCGCAACGTCGCAGATCAAATTGCCCTTCGGGTGGCGATTTGTGATATATTCCACTAACTGTTGGTAGCCGCTGAGGTCATGACCATACAGTTAAACCATATCACAAACAGTCCCACCAAATCAAGTTTATACTTGTTTATTCTATAGTTCGATTCTAATGGAGATCTTCATTACATTTACAGATCCGCTTGATCAAGCAACGCCAAAAGAAGGCCCATGTTATGGAAATCCAATTGAACGGTGGTTCCATTGAAGATAAGGTTAAATGGGTTAAGGAACACTTGGAAAAGCCCATCCCAGTCAGCAATGTCTTCGGTCAAGATGAAATGATCGATTGCATTGGTGTCACCAAGGGTAAGGGTTTCAAGGGTGTCACTTCCCGTTGGCACACCAAGAAATTGCCCCGCAAGACCCACAAGGGTTTGCGCAAGGTTGCCTGTATTGGTGCCTGGCATCCTTCCCGTGTGTCGACCACCGTCGCTCGCGCTGGTCAAAAGGGTTACCATCACCGTACCGAAATCAACAAGAAGATCTACCGCATTGGTGCCGGTATCCACACCAAGGATGGCAAGGTAAATATATTTCCAATATTTAATACATATTACCTAAGTATATTGCTCTGTGATGATAAACTCATAAAGTTCCGACATCAAACATAAAACTTATATATTTGATTAACCACATGATATTTAAATGATAGGACTGATTAACTAATCTAATTTATATTTAAAATGTAATTCGACTTTTTAGTAATTTATTTGTTATTTTCTCTTTGTAGGTTATCAAGAACAATGCTTCCACTGAATACGATTTGACCGACAAATCCATCACCCCCATGGGTGGTTTCCCTCACTATGGTGAAGTTACCAACGACTTCGTCATGATCAAGGGTTGCTGCATCGGTTCCAAGAAACGTGTCCTTACCTTGCGTAAGACTTTGTTGAAGCATACCAAGCGCTCTGCTTTGGAACAAATCAAGCTCAAGTTCATCGATACCTCCTCCAAAATGGGTCATGGTCGTTTCCAAACCCCTGCCGACAAATTGGCCTTCATGGGTCCCCTCAAGAAGGATCGTATCAAGGAAGAGCAAGCTGCTACCGCTACTGCTACCACCACTTCTGCTTAAATTTAATATTATACATATATTATGTATATACATTTCCCAGCACAGTATGGTTTACCATATATAACAATACCTATGTATGGTAGAGAATAAAGGATGTTGATATAAAATAATACCGAATTTTTATTTATATGTAATTGGGGATATTGCAGTTGGGGTGGTTTTTACTTAATTCTTTAAATAATTAAAAATGGAGAAAAATTTACAAAGCGACTTGACTGATTCTGGGTCTAAATTAGGGAAGTTCACTTTTTTCCAAATTTGTTTTTGTTTTAAACCAAATAATTTTCCATAATCAATTATCTGCTAACAGGTTAGTTGGGTCTATGTAAAAGCAATAGGGTTGGTACAACAATAACTGGATTTCGAAAAAAGAAATTCAGGAAATGCATCTAAATTTTAATTTCGTATGAAGTGAAGTGGAAATCCATCTACATTTTAATTTCTTATAAAGTGAAATGGATAACAAGTTTGAAGAGGTCGCGGCAGTGCACCGCGTTCACAGCATTTAAAATAAAAAATTGTTTTCATTCCTTCGGAAAATGCATTTTAAAAGGAAAAATAATAATTGGAATGATTTTGTTCATGTTGTTTTTAAATTATATTGCAGAAAATATCGTAAATCTTGTTGTAATTGATTTTGAATAGAAATAGCTCACGAATTTCGGAAAAGATGAGTTTTTTGATTTAATTTTATGGCTGCAGCGAGGAGTAACGAAAAAATGTGCTCAAATAAATCTATTCCTAAAATATTATTACAGTTTTTGGATTTTATTGTTTTGAAACATCACAATTATAGCTATGTAAATGCAAATGCAGGCATTGGGTTTAAATAGTAAAAATACTTTAGATAATTTAATTGTTTATCCAACTAAAATTTGAGTATTTTCAAAAACATGTTTTTTTATTTTATAAACAAAAATAATATTTTATCATCGTATACGATTATTCTGGATAATAATATTTATTTCAGTAAAAAAGCTTGAATTACCCGATTCTCACTACCAAAAACAACAGACTATGGAATATAACAATTAGCAATCCCTATATCAAGGTTCAAGATTGTACCTCTATTCGTCCATATTATGGCGCAAAAGAGTCAAAACCCCTATATTACATTTGTGAATACTAATGAAGACCCATAAAATGGTCAAATAGAATCCCCGTTAGAATACATGAAAGCACTTACCTTTTAAACTCGTATTGCGTTGCTAAAAATCATTTTATTAGGTCATATATTCGAACTTATATTTTTAAATTTTTTATATAATTTAAAAAACTGAATATCGAATACTAATTTTTTGTTACTAAATTATTTGTGCTTTTTATACACTTTTAACAAGAAAACACAAAAGCATCTGTAGAAGCGTTTGAAATAAGCCTATTCGGCTGATACACACAAACAAAACAAAGGCACAAATAAATAAATAATACTCATTAATCGGAAAGCGGATAGTAAACGGTGCATTCTTTATTGCAAAGGGATCACATTTTTATTATTAAAAATCTTTTTGAAGCCGAACGCGCACAGATTTCATCGCACAAACAGAACAAAACATAGCTGATACATACACGAACACTGACACAAGCATTTTAGCAATAGATTTTGCAGAACATTTTATTAAACGATATAAACGAATTTCGCAATATTTTGTGAATATTATTATTTTCTGATATGTTTTAAAAATTTGACAACAACATAAACAGATCACAACAAAGGACATCTACACTTTATGAACGCGACGAAAGAACTAAATGAAGGGGCATTTCTAGAACTTACTCTTACTGATATGGTGAATAAGAGCGACTTAACGTAGGAACGTTGAAACAGAGACATAACATTGGTTTCCTTTAATTATTAGGACAGTGCATTCAAAATAGAGATCGTCTAATGGAAACGGAATATGAAGTCGGTTTTTTAACCTTACGCGCAAACAGTCTTATAGCCTAGACAGACGACAGCCTTAATTTGCATTAGCAGTCTTAATTCAAATAACTTGTACATTATCCTCATTTTTATGTATCGTAAATGCACAAAATCAAACTGAATTTATACTGAATTAAACAATTCCAATATGGCAATGCTGTAGAAAATAAATTATTTGTTGTCAAATTTGTTTACGTTTATGAAAAAAAATATTAGAAATAAAGGCAAATATCAAAATTTTTTCCAATCGGGAGCTGTTTTACTACCATTTTAGTTGTTATTCTTCCGTTCTGTCATGTATCTATTTCATAAAGATGAAGTCCCAAAAAATATTGGAAACAATTGTGAAAATGTTTATCCTACACACGGACAAACAATAGTTTTGAAACAAAAAACTGGTTCATAAATGCAGAAACTCTCGTCTGTCAGGGGTAAATATTAATTCAAATTAGGAACTTTTTAATGCAAATTAAGGCTGTCGTCTGTCTATGGTATTACCGTTGGGAATTTTAAAAAAGTTGCACAAATAGTCGTTCCCTTGAAAAAAAAGTCGCACCGAAAAGTAAAATCGTCAATACAACCGTTCCTAGAATATGTCACATACCCTTGGAGTTCAAAAACTCAACTTAAAAAGTTGCAAACAGAGTTACAGGGCATCAAAAAGGTTGCAAATTGCGACTTTAGTCGCACAAAGGTAACCCTGTGCGCAAACATACATCTCAATGATGAAAGGAGCACCTCAGGTTTCATATTGACAAGAAGAGGACAGATATTTCAAAAGAAAACTTTTATTATTTTTTATGGAACCTAATGCTTATATTACATTAGTATAAGTCAATGGAGAGCATATCCAAATTTAAGAGAGTTTAAAAACCAGTGATTTTAATTAAATGCTTGACTAATTTCATCTTTTAAAAAATAAAAATAAAAAATACAATCTAACACGCATTGAAAACAAATTATAAGAAAAACATTTAAAATTTTTATTTTATTCTTAGTAAACGAAAAAGTAAAAATAATGCCAAAAAATAAGCTAAAATCCATTACTAGTTTATGTCCTTTGTAATTGCCTTTATATGTCCGTTTCCGTTAGATCATGTCTCAGTGCAGTATCTTCGTTTTAATGTTCCTTCGTTAAGTCTCTCTTATTCCCCATACCGGTAAAAGTAAGTTCTAGAAATGCCCAATTAGTTCTTTCGTCGCGTTCATAAGATGTCGACGTCCATTGCAGTGATCGTTTAATTTTGTTGTCAAATTATTTAAAAAAAACGAGAAAATAATAAAATGTTTTTGAAATAATTTTTAAAATTTAAATACAACACAAAATAGTGCTACATTCGTTCATATCGTGCAATATTCCTTTATCTATTACGACGGTGTTTATGTTCGTGTGTGTGTGGTATCAGATTTACTCGATTCTGTTGTTCCATGAAATCTATGCGTGTTTGGATACAAAAAGATTTTTAAAACAAAAGTATTGATCCCTTTTCAACAACGTTTCCGTGTTAAAGAGAGTAAAAGCTCCACCTCTCTTCGTTTTTTTTCCGTTATCCACGTAACGAGTGTTAGTTATTTTTCCCTGCATCCGGTTTACTATAAAAGCTTCTTTAGATAAATTTGTGCTTTCGTTTTTAAAAGTATTTATCAGTTAGTGCGGGTTTCAACCATAAAAAGTGGATCCATTTTCGCTGTCGTAGATAAGCATGTGTATTCGAAATTCAGTATTATTAAAAAAAGGATTAAAAATTTAAAAAAAAAATTAATAAAAAATTCCTTTAATATAATACGAGTTTATACCCAATGAATTGTTTCAAGCAGCGCAATAGGAGTTTTATAGGTAAGTGTTTTTATGTTGTTATTACTTTTCACAAATATAATATAGGGTTCGCGACTTAGCTAGATGGGTTACTGCAATCAACAATGGTGAATTAATTTATAAAGATCAAATAATTTGTGGTGGTACTATTTTATATTTGTTCTGGGTATATGCCGGAGGTACTCCTAAAGTTTTCATTTTCTATTTATAGGCAAATTTCTGTTTTAAATATTTTCGAACCAACTCATCATTTTACCTCAAAATTTTGATCCCTATTCAGATCTCTATCTACCTGAAGTACAAATGATACCAAATTTCTAACATTTTCTAGAATTAAAAAAAGAAAACACCTGATTACCTCTAAATAGAAATTTATAATTAATTCACCACCTTGGTCTCATCGATTCGTTTACCAAACAGTTAAAGAATTTCTGAAGCCATCTACTTATCTCATCCCTTGATCACAATTTAATCTAAACGACTAACTCATCTCAAACTCAGATAACACTTTAGAATTTTGTGTATACATATTTGGGTTACACATATTCATATTTCTATTCAAACATATTCCTTATCTCAATCCTATACAATAACAGACATACCAAGTTTGAAACCGTCTTAATATAATATATTTCAAGATTCTATGTTTATTCGTTCATCCAATACCAATATAGTAATTGGTATGGTAATTTTTGGTAATAGTTTCAGCAACACCTTTGGCACCTCCACTCCATTAGGAACTCGTATTCCAAAATTTCAAAACCCAATCTGTTCAAACAAAATATTAATGACACAATTTTTAGTACTTTTCGGTACCCTTATAGTACGATTTTCCACAAATCCACACCTATACTAACCGCAATACTAACCAACACATTATTATTAGAAGAAAAAATAAATAGACATAGTGCATACTTATAATTGTGTAAACTCATAAAATATTATTTATTCATTTATTTAATAAAAAACATCATTTATTTATGTAAAGTATGTACATTGTTTCTTTTCCTTTATTTGTTTTTAAATACTTTTCTCTATTTGTGTTTCGTGTTAAGTTTCAGTAAATAAAAAGGTATGATATAAATAGTTGGTTAGTTAAACATAAAAATCTAATTAAACGTACAGCATCTTCTTCATGCACACATAGGTAAAAGGTTCATCATCAATGCTATATCACAGTGCAATACAATTCTCCTGAGAAATGGGGTACGTTTCTTTTCATCATTTCGATACAATTTTATGAGTTTTGTGTTGATGTTAAGTTAAACAATTTTCTAAAGCTAAACACAAATTTGGCAAACTATTTCAACTGGATAATTTAGTACTGCAAAAAAGAACCAAAAAACAAAATAAAATAAATAACATGAAATGAAATGAGAAGGTGAAAACTTAAAATAGGAGACAATTAAAATTAGTTCGTAATGTAGAATGACTAGGAATTAATGGGACATTACTCTTCTTTAGGTTTCTGTACAACGTATTGGTTGTACATGGTGTATGCTAGACCTAATGTCAGACATCCAACGACTGTTCCTTGGGCCGCCACACGCAATTGCATTAGAAATACACTCGTGCTCATCGTTCCACGATGTTTATATTTGTAGGCACCAATAAGACCAGCGGCAACAAAACCAGCCAAACCTGTAATAAAAAAATATTGTTTTAAAATAGTTGTTTATTGTTTAATTCATGAGATAAACCACATGGCTTTGTTGTAAAATGTATAACATATTTTTTCAAGTAAGAGCTGTACAATTCTTAATATGATTTTGGTTCTTATGGTTTAAATGCGTATAAATTCAAATAAAATGAACAGTTCTCTACAAAGTTTTTAAAAAATAGTTAAGGAGGAAGTCTTTTTTCTAAAAAACATTAATACATGAAAGTACACAAGTATTGTATTTGTGTTAAAACCTCTGTTATATCAAACTATTGGAAAACGTTTTCGGATTATTTTTGTTTTGGTTCTAAAATGAAATATTAGATTTAATAAAACAAACTTCTGATATTGTATGGATTCAAAAAATATATTTTGTGGATTAAGCCAAGTATGTATTTTGTTCTAAATGTAGAAAAATTAAAAAAATATCTTCGGTATAATTCCATAATATTTATCCAAATAATTTTATAGAAGAATATTATAAAATTATTCTAATTATCGTTTTCATCAAATACGCATGTTGGAGCCACATCGACTATTTTGTTTTCTTCTAGGTGGAGCTGTCTATGTATACTCAAAAAAAAAAAAAAAAAAAAAAAAAAAAAATTTAAACCAGTAGCTATGAAGTCATTCTGAGAGAGCTCAAGAATTGTAGAGAAGATAATTTGAATGTCATGACTTTATTACTAAACCATTAATTGTATACCACCAATTAACATTTCAAAAATATACACATTCTGTCATTCAGGTTTCGTGTGACTTATGAAATAATAAAAATTTAATGAAGGTACAATATACGAAATTCTAAGTGGAACATTACATACACAATTTGTATGTATGCATTGCGCCATTCATATATGAATTTGTTTTCAAAAAATTTCCAACTCCAAATTTCAATGGAAAATTACATATCTTCAATTCTTCAATGCCCATTGTGTTACTCATATAAATATGTGAGTCTTAAAACTATATTAATCAAAAATATAATCCCCTATAACTTTAAAACACTCTTATTTTTAGATAGTAAAAACGAGTGAAAGAAAATTGATAGTAGGCCAGCCAATATGGACTTTTAATTTCACAAATGAAAATTTATATATTATGTACTGAATACAGTTTATTTCAGTTTCTATTTATATTTCATTTAATTAATAATGAATGAATTTAATAATACATATTGTTAAATCATTCAAAGCAGTTAACTCGAATTCCAATTATGTATGGAGGTAGAATAATTTGATGCTATGTTTGTATGTATTTTCACCAAGTGTTGTGAAATTGCATAAAAATAAAAACATGTGAAAATTAAGATCTCGCATAAAAATGAAATCACGTCGAAACTATTAAACATTTGAATACAAATTATTGGAAAGTAATAATTGCGTGTTATATCTAAATTGTTAATATTACGCTTGTACAATGAATATTTCCATACCGCTTTTAAGGTATATATGTATATTTTCATAAAACTCCTTGCAAAACAATACACTGGGATTGCGCCTGACTATTTTCCAAGACCAAAATACAAATGGTATCCCAAATAACCCGCCAACACCACTGAGAATTTTAATTTGCTGTTTTTATTGCCAGCCATTAATTAGGTTCCAATAAACATTTACAAAGATATCACTTCGATATTCTGATTTCGTGTAGATATGCAGAATAAAAAATAATGACGACACAGTAAAAGAAATTCTAAACATCAATGTTATAAATGGAAAATTACACATCTCATTTGTATGTATGTATGGCGTTACTCATATGTGAAAGCCATTATTATCGTGGATCATGTGTACCAACAAATATATCTTTCCATTTATTAAACATCAAATCTTAAATGGAAAATTACAAATGTCCACTGGTCATTGCGCTATTCAAATACGTATATTGCTGAATGTTATAAACTGGAAAATTACATATCCCCACGGGTTATTTATTACTCATATGCGAAAATGTTACAATGTTATAACAGGAAAATTACATATCTACAATGTCTTTAATACGTATTGTTCAAAAAGTAAATCCCCTGCTAATTTTAAACACAATTATTATTTGAAGGTAAAGCACGGGAAATTACATCGGTTGAGATCTGATAGCAAAAACACTTAAGCTGTGTTAGTTAAAAAATGTAATTATTTGTGTACAAAATACAAAAACTATTATGCCATAAATGTAAATCCCAAAAATATACACGCACAGATATGCGAATGCACACTGGACTGAATAAAAATGATTTTTTTAACTATACTATGACGAAATGATTGTCCTTAGATTCGATAGTTAATATAAATCGTTAAATATTTTGTTAGCAAATAACAATCAAGAGCTATAATACAATTTATGTATTGAAGTTGAATAATGTAATTCTATGTTTGTTCGAATAGCATAATTTCACAACAGCTGGTGGAATTACATACCTACAAACATAAAATGAATTTAATAACAACACAAAAACAAAATTATTTACAAATATCTCTATTATATATAGCTGCAATACGTTTTAGGAATTCTCCGAAACGCATATCTTCAATTCCTTTATGGAATCTATTTGCAATTAATAACAAATTTTATTTGTTTTGGAATTACATCATACGCCACACACACAAATTATGGCTTTTCCGTTCGTCGAAAGAGATTAGTAGCGTCAGCGAGAGACATACAAACAACACTTGGTTAGATAACACAAGACTGCAAGTCCTAAGTCAAATGCTGCGTATATCGCCTATTCCTGATCAAGGTTCTATCTAAAATGACACATGTACCGCATCAAGGTCACGGCCGTAATGTGTTCATCAACACCTCACCATGATAGTACAATTTTTTTTTGTAAATTTCCATTGGACATCATTTCACAAAAAAGAAGAGAATTCTCACAACGAAATAACAAATACATAGGCACATATATGACGACGTCACAAAAAGTATTCACACTTTGTGCTTTTTGATTACGGAAACAAATTCTGCAGATATTTTGGCATCATGTGGTTTGTTAGCACTTGGCAACGGAACAACTTACCCACAACCATGAATGGTGAATCCTTGGCCTTCTTTGACAATTTGCCACCTTCATCTCCAGGTTCTTCGAAATATGATTTGGAACTCATGACGTTGGCAGGTACTTAACCGTTTCGTTAATTTAACAACTTGTATAAAAGACTCGGAATAACTTTCCCGTTCTACTCCCGCATTAGGTTATAACTAACTTATATTTGGGAATAGTTTGCAAAAACAAAACCAAATAGAGAGATTTCTAACAATAGGGATGGGAAAAATTTGCTAAAATCAGAGAGTTTCCCCAATTGATTATTGTTATCGATAAATTTACTTATCTGTGTTATCGCTGTATTTACACATGGCATAACATATACACAAAAACTAATGCGAAAAAAGTAATAAAATACAATTGAAGAAAACAATAAATTTTTATTTAACGATTAAAAATAGTAATGTAAACATCAGATTTGCTGTTGTGTTGATTCTGAAAGATTATCATTTTATTTGTTACTCATTTTTTCTTCTCCCACATTTGTAGCTGTTGGAACGTTTTTAATTTTTTTCAGTCGATAGAGTTTGCAGTCAAGTTCAGGTAACGGATCGATCTTTCTCGTTCCTATTTTAAAAAGGAACTAGTTCCGTCATGTAGTTCCTTTATTCCATATAGTTCATTTACTCCATACAGTTCCTTTGCTCTATATAGTTCCGACTCCTAGATAGTTCCTTTGAATCTCTCTCTTTCATTGTTCCTTTTATTTTTTTGTTTCGCTCACATAGTTCCGTGTTGATTTGTTAATAGATAAAAAAATTGAAAATTGTGCAAAAATTTAAAAAAAAAAATTATTTAAAAATAGTCTATATTTAGTAAAATATTTAGAAGCTACAGAATTCAAACGCAGGACGATAAGTACACAATAGTTCCGTTTCAGAACCTAAAAGAATCTACTAATTTTACATGTTTTGCAACTTTTTACTCGAAAACCGTTCCTCAACCTACAAAACTGTTAAAACATTGACTCAAATTTAGGAGAGCACAAAACAAAATGACGTTCTCTTTAAAAACTTGTTACTCGAGAAATTTGGTCGAGTATAAATGGTAAAAAGGAATGCCTACTTATGATTGGCTGTTATGTTGATTTTGAAGTATTGCCATCTAATTTTGGCATATTTACTAGATTTGCGTTCCCGAACTTTTAAAATTCTGTTGTACTCTGAGAAATTTTGAAATGTTCCCCTTTTACTAGATTTACTATTAAAAAAGTACTGGAACATACCATATATTTTTTAATAAATAAATATCCATTTGTTAGCCGATTTTTTAATTTTTTCTCATTTTCGAAATCTTATTTAATTTTCTTCTCCGTAATATAATAAAACTTATTCGGCTTAATATCATAATTTCATCGTACAGTCCGAAGAAAAATTTATTTTGCGTTTTTATCGGTATTTTTCATATTTCTAAACTCAGCCAATCCTCTACCAAATATATATCTTGTTTGAAAGGAAAAATTCTACTCTTCGAAAGAAAAAATAATAATATAAATACGTTAGAAATAAAAGAAATTATTAGCGTTTCAAATGGAAAATCTATGAAACCACGTTTTTCTCTACATTTACCGTTATAAAACTAATTTTCGAAGTACACCTAAAAAAACCAAAGGTTTTTTGTAGTCTAGGGACTCCAACTAAACAGAATTGGTACATTAATCGACATGTACATTAGAACTTTGTACAGGGGTTAACCTTCTTTATGAGGATTTATTTGACATATATTCAAAGGAATTGACAATTGAAACCCACTGGATTAACGAAATCCGTTTAAATGTAAACGTACTATTAGAACCCCTGAATGATTTTTGTTGTTGTTGGTTTGTAGCACAGTGTAATTAAAGAGCTGGAACTAGTTCCGATCGTTTCTTTCTCGGAATAGTTCCGGTGATGAAATAGAATTGAATTGCAAATCAAAGTGGGAAAGCGCGGCTAAAATGAGCTCCTGGCATCCAGAAGACGAAATATCCATATCCGATTCTGAAGACGAGGATGACAGTTTGAAAAAAGTATATCATGGTCGTGACGCCATTATCTTTGTGGTCGATGCATACCTGTACCATCAACCGGAGTTTTTAATGGCTGCCTTCTCCTTGATACGAGAAGCTTTCCTGTCGGGACTGCTAGTTAATGACAAAGACCTTATGGCCCTAGTATTGACTAATACCAAAGAGTGCCCCGAACCGAATGAAGCCAATTGTTTGGATGCCATTGTAATGCCGGAAAATTGTGCTGTTTTCCTGCCACCACGTCAATTGAATACGGCCATTGTTAAACATTACCTGGAATTTCTCGAAACCGTTTCCGAAGATTTTGAAGAGGTGTATGGTGTGTGTGAAAGTGATGGCGCCAACTTTTCTCACGTCTTACGCTTGTGTTTGGACTTGGTGGATCAGTGCACATACTCAGTGGACAATACCACTATTGTCTACTTGACAGACAAAGAAACTCCACACCCGGTTAATTCCGATGCATATGGACACGCCTTACAAAAAGCCTCCGACATAAGTGGAAAGGAGGTGGAATTTCACATCATACCAATGGTGGATGAATTCAACTATGATGTATTTTACAAGGAATTTATATGTCTGGTACATAATATCGAATTAGATTCGTTTGAACCCATGAACCCACAGCGTTCAAGAGAAATGTTAGCTGATCGCAAATTTAAACAGCATTTTGTTAGACGTTCCTTGGGACATTTCAAATTCACTCTCGGCCCCGATTTAACGCTTTCTGCTCAATACTTCAATTTCTACCAAAAAGCTAAAGGACCGCGAAAGGTGTTAATACGTCGTACCGACAATGCCGTGCTACAGAGAAAGCGTCTTACAAAGGTATTCAGAAAGGATCCCGAAACGGAAGAGTTGACCGATGGACGCTTGATTAACATAACCGATGCTTGGTATGAAATCAATTTAGGCAATTCACCTATACGGCTATCATACGAGCAAGTTAATCGTGTCCGTAACCTACATGAGCCCGGAATGATGTTATTGGGATTTCAACCACGTTCATGCCTCGACAGTTTTTCATTTTCGAAGACGTGTAACTTCATGTATCCCGATGATAGTCATATTGTTGGATCTAAACGTTTGTTTCGTGCGCTCTGGGAGCGTTGTAAGGCCAGAGATAAAGTAGCCATATGTTTGTTTATGAGCAAACGAAAATCCATGCCTCGCTATGTGGCACTGGTGCCAGAGTCCAGGGAAGATGCAGAAGCAGAGTCACATTATTCTCTAATAACAAATGATGGCTTTAAAATAGTATATATCCCATGTTCATCGTATGTACGCCAGATAGACCCGTCTGACTGGAACTCCATAGAAAATACTGCATCTACTGAACAAGTTGATGTTTGTAAGAGCATTATAAAGAAGCTTCGTCTCGGATATGATCCGACTATGTTTTGTGATCCGGAGTTAGATCAGCTGCAGACAAAATTATTGGGATTGGCTTTTAATGTTACAAATGAGTCGACAGGGAGTCATTATTTTCCCGATGCCGAAAGACAAGATAAACGTATCGAAGCTATTATACCGAAATTTCAAGAGCTCTTTGGTGAAGATGAGGAACCGGCTAAAAAACGTCCCGCTACAAGTAGTAAGGCCGATGGATCAAATGCGCCAAAGGTTCCAAAATTAACGGCCGATAATTTGAACGATAAGAATTACGTTTTGGATATGGCCAACAAAAAGGCATTGGATCCTTGTACCAAAGAGCAGTTGTTGCAAATTTTGGAACATCATTACGGTAGAAAAGTTGCCAAGTCAACTAAAAAACAAGATCTTTTAGAGATAATTTATAATTATTGATGAATACCAATTAAATAACAGTGAATTTATTTACAATTTTCTAAAAGAAAAAATAAATTGTTTTATTTTGGTGGTCCATAAACAATACTAATTGTCAGCTAGATCGCATGGAAATGTTTAAGATGAGTTCAGTTGGAAATGAAGTACTTATGTTTGCGAATAAAAATTGAATTGATGAAAAAATCAAAAATCATATTCAGAAGTGGTAAACATTTATAAAAAGAATAAAAAATTATAAAATGCGTATTAATAGTGAGGGAAATATTTAAATTGCATAGAGTAACTTCGGGTAATGTGGACTATGCCTCTAATTGTCATATTTAAATGCTTTAAATATGACAACGCTGCCTTGATATATGTTTTCTTAATAAGTGAAAACAAAGATCTAACATGATTTTGATCTAACAAAAATCTAACATGATTTTAAATGGGAGATATTTCTAAACAGGAACCCATATATTTGTCCATTCATTCTTACCCAAGATTGGAATAAATATAAATTTATTGCAATCACACAACCTACCTTTTAACTTTGGGTATATTCTACATATGGGAATTCTTAATTTTCTTTTAAAATTCCATTATATAATTTGATTTTATGTGATCTTTATCAATAAATGAATCGACTAACATCAATCCATACACATACCTTTCTGCAACCTATGCTAAATTTCAATGAGACAAATTTGTGTAAATAAGACAGCATCTGCACCCATTACAAAAAAAAAGCCATCATTCTAGTTTCAATTTTGTGTCAATCGGACAAACATTAGGTGCATCATTTACCATAAATGGGGTTCGTCCTTGGGCCAAATAAATAAACTGTGCCAAATTTCATCCAATTCGACCCGTACTATGTTTGCAATTTAACATGGACAGACAGACGGACGGACATGCATAAATCGACTCAGAAAGTGATTCTATGTATATTCTCAAATGGAACCATGTGTCTATCTCGTTTCCTTTTGCCTGTTACAAACATATGCACAAAGATATAATACACTGTACCATAGTGTGGTGAAGGGTATAAAAAGTGACATTGTGCAAAATTATGTAAGATTGACACGACTATAATAACCCATATTGGAACGGATGTTGTTCATACAATTATTATGAAACTAAAGACCTCGAATGGTGATTTGATATCAATTAAAAACTGCCGTTTCCCTGTTCAAGAGAAACAATTTTTGTTTCATGGTTGTTTGTTCACAACTCTGTGGATGCTACAGAAAAATCTGCATTCACCTTTCGAATAATTGTGAACATTTTAATTGCTACCTTATTGCAGTAATTTGTCATTCATTTATGGTCATTCCATGCTGAGTATATAATTACATACCTTTTCTGTAGAGTTATTCCTGTTTCATGGTCTCTCATACTTGTATTTAATAACTCGCTGAAGTCTTAAGGCACTTAACCACACATCCTTTTTTACAATCCAACATACATACGAACGTATGAGCATGATTAAAAAAATAATAGCATTACATTGAAAACATATGTATGTGTCTGTGTGTATAATAATAGCGTTTAACTGAGTTTCTGGATGGGCTTGTGGGTAATTTAAGTAATTAACACTCACTTGTGAGCGAGCGTCGCACGATTAAACTTTATTCGTTTTTTTTTTTAACGATGTTCCTTGTTATTTTGTGCGTACAAGTGTACACCCTTTTGTTGGTGAAGCTGTTGTAATTGTTGAAAATTCTTTTATGTGTTATTATGTTGCTATGGATTATACGGAAGTGGACACTAATACATAAACAAAATACGATGTAATCAAACTAAAAACTTGTAGTTCGTGACAATATAAACAATTAGCAATTATAAATATGGATAGTATATATAGAACCGAATTATTGACACCAAATTATATTTATCTTTGCCTCCTATGCACTTTTTGGTGAATATTTACACTAACAAAATATATACAAATTACTATATATTTTTAATTGTGTTTAATTGCCAACAATGTTAATATTCAACCATTTCATTTCTAAATATTGTATTTCTTTCATTTATGTGCAAATTGCCAACTCATAGAAGTCATAAAGTACTTATCAAATAAAGCACGCTTACAATCAATTTCAATTCAAAGTTGTTTTCACTTTGAAATTGCAACAAAGTCCGGCTGACTTGTTAGCCAAAGTACTTAATAACAATTATCTGGCCATTTATAAAATGAGGTGTTTCTTTTTTTTCAAATTGCCACTACATAACTTGGTGTCGTGTTGGCCGGCAGTGGCATAAAAGACAACCTCCCTCCATCCATTCATATGTCATATTTAGCTTTGCTATGTCTATTTTAATTTCTTCTGTGTGAGTATGTATTTTCTTGTTTCATATAAATAAAACGGAAATTACACTTAAATATTCATTTCCTGTTTAATTTACATTCACACATTCATGCATACCCACCTAAAGGAAAGGAACGTGCATATTTTACCGCATGCTAAGAAGCTAAGACATGTTACATACGTGTATTATATATTGTTGGTTTGTTTGACATATGTTTGCGTGTGTGTGTGAATGTGGGTTTTGGTGCAATTTTTCACAATCGCCTATAAATGAATGAGGTATTGCTCTACCTACATACATGTACAATGGGTATATACATATGGATGTTTATGAGTGTGGCTTCCAAATACCCCCATGACTTGGGCTATGACGTTGTGTGTGTGTGTGTTGAAAGGAATTGACCAAAACAATAAGACTTATGCATGAATAGGCCTACGTACAGCCAACAAGAACATTCTGTTATACCTGACATACGACATTGGCTTGTTGAGTTATTTATGCATATGTTGCTATAACATGCTGTGAAAAGCATTCAATGTCATAGACATGCCAATAGGAAATCGTTGGAGAATTTAAGAAAAAAAAGGCAAAGAATTGTATACTAGAGATACTACACCCTACAAAATATTTTTACCATAGATCAAAAAGCTTGAAGCATGAGAATGGAGTATCTCTTCAAGCAGAATGTTTTCTATAGGTGGAAGAGCAGATTTTCGGCAGATATAATAATAGTTTTTCTATATAAAGAAGAATAGTTTTTCTATAGACATAAGAGTATCATCTATATAGAGAAGAGTAACAATTCTATAGTAGAGTGAAGCTAATGAGTGTATCTTCTATATGAGTACATATATCTTCTCATGTCAAAAAACTCTTTTTATTTAAACAGTTTAACCCAAACGCAATAAATTATTGATTTTTTCATTTATTTATGAAATTCAATTAAATTTCATTACTAAACTTTGGTGTAGGGCTTACTCATCATCAACCGTTATCCTGTAGCAAATCCAAAGATTAAACCATTCGAACCGAAATCGTTTTCTTTTAAAAACAAAAACACCTACTACCCTTTTAATTTTTGAATCGTTGGTGGGTTTACCAATTAATCAAAACTATCGTAAAGGAAAGCAAAACAAAAAAACGGGTTTGATTTAAATTTGTGATAGGGACATGCGGAAAAACAGGAGCATATGTCAAATCTGGTCATTTGTCAAGTATCTTCGGAATAAGCTAGCAATGTGTTCGCACACGTACGCACTGGCAACTACACACACGCATACTCCTACGCCTACATGCAGGCGAACGTAGGATACGTCCATGTGCTCTGCAGGAAAAAGGACGCTGCCAAAATTTAACAACTTGATTTGGTGTCATACTCATGACCATAAACCATATGAAAATTCTGTGACGAGAACTTTATCTGGATATTTTGTATAAGGCAACCGCTCTGGTTGCTGTTGCTGTTTTCGGTTTTGTTTCATTGATGGAAGGCAGGGGTGAACGTGTGGTGCTGTCTGTCTGCCTGCCATGACAATGTGTGTAGGTGAAGTTTTACTCACGTTCATTTAACAATAGTTTTTACCACAAAAGTTATCGGCATTTGAACAAACCACTCGTTAAACCATAAATGTATTATGTCTATTCGTCTCGTCTGATATCCTTCCCACACTCCCATCAACACCACAACACCAAAATATAACTGACGACGAAAACACCAAAACTTTTGAACTGCCAACAGGCAATAACCAACCAAAAACCGTTAGTTAACTGTTTAATATGCATAAGATGTGATTTGCGTACGAATGGGGTGAGGGTGTGGGGGGTGTTTTGCAAGGTGTGTGGCGTGGGGTACAAGTGTTTGTCGCCGGTGTTCGACGGCGAGTGCCGTCTCTTCCTTTTTGTGAATAATTTTATGTGTTTGTTGGCATTTGTTTGCCAGGATATCTTAGTTTGTGCGAAATGGAAATGAAGGTCTGTGTGTGTGTGTGTGTTTGTGGCATTTGTAACCACGTCAACATGCTTGCATGCGATTGTGTGTATGGCCGTGCGTGTGTGTGTGTTTACAATGTTAGTCTATTGGTGACTTATTGTTGTTATTGTAGTTGCCGGTTGGTTGATAGTGGTGGTAAAGCTTTATTTGTATTTGCGGTTTATTTAGCAAATTCGCCACTATTGGTGAGGTTGTTGTTGTTGCTGTTGTGCTATTTAACTGGTTCACTTGGTTTTTGGTTGTATTTATAACCATTTCCTAACACATTTGCATTTCAGTGTCAGGGATGGACCGCAAGAGGGGGCCTTGGGAAGTGGGTTTACTTATGAAAAACTAAATTAAAAAGATTTGTGATATTTCAAAAACTCTGGCAATTTATGGGGAGTTACATATTAGAAAGAATATTTGGGTCAATATGTGGATCCAGACATCTGGACGGACATTTGAAAACGAATAAATATTGTCTGAAGTGGATTTGTTAAAATGGTATTTGGGGTATAAAACTGTTATCTCGATGGCATACATATTTTCGATCATATCAAATTGTATTCGACCTCAGTTATCTGAAAGTCAATTACAATAAATATAAGTTCTTAGGAAGATCACGAACCTATACAAAGGAAACTGTCACGAGAATCCTTAAGGACGGTAAT